AAAAAATTAGAGGACAATAAATGCTGATGAGGATGTTGAAAGACTGGGACACTCCTACATTTCTGATGGGAATACAAAATGGTCCAACCTTTCTGGAAAGCAATATGATGCTTCCTCAGAAGGTTGGAAATAGAAATACCTCATGACCCAGCAATTCCTCTACTTGGTATTTACCCACAAGAAATGTAAGCCATAACACAAGGAGATATATGCACACCAATGTTCATAGCAAAAAGATGCAGAAAGCCTAAGTGCCCATCAACTGAAGAATGGATAAACAAACTGTGGTACATATACACAATGGAATATTATGCTACCTTGAAGAATAACACCAAGCAAGCTGCAAGCCACCGCAGAACATGGATGAACCTTGAGAACATGTTGAGTGAAATTCATCAGTCACAAAAGGAGAAATACTGCATAGGACCACTACTGTAAAAGACTAAGAAAAAGGACCCATACTAAAGGTGGGGTGGGATCCTTTGCTGGTTACCAGGATGTGGGGAGTGGGGTGAGGGGAGGGAGGGGAAGGTGGAGCACAGGGCAGGGAATAGACACAGGTTAATTTGGGTGTTGGGAGGGGGGCAATATACAAGAAGGAGGAGGAGAATGGAAAAACAAGGAGGATGGGAAAACAATTAGGTTTGCATGGACTAAGTGGGACAGAGGTAAACAATGATGTATGTACCGCCTTGGAACAATAGGACTCTGGGATACAGGGATTGAGACATGGTTGGAATGGGCAAAAGGAGGAAAAAATTGTTAACATGCTTGACTATCTTTTGAATCTTGGTTTCCCCAGCATACCATAATAAAATAGACACTTGAAGAGGAGAGAAAGGAATAGCCAAAAATATCACCATAGAAAGCTTGTAAGTCTGTCTTCTGCCTATAACTTATTGGAATACCTAAAATGGGGCTACAATGTTACCAGTGAAGGAGGCTTCCTGTGGAGCCTCTGCATTACATAAGACCATAGGGGGAATCCTGAACCACATCCAGAATCTTCTGAGGTGGGAAAGTTCCACTTGAAAGGATAAGCAGACCAGCCTGGAGTGGCTAGAACAGAAGATACTTCTTGAAAGAAAGGCTAACAGGAAAAATACAAAACAATAATGGCAGTCTGACTCATTGCTACAAGAACAAGCAAGTTGCTCACCCAGGAGACATCAAAACAAGTGGTCAGGTCCCTAAGGGTAAATCCCCTTACAAGACTAAGACTCAATGGGAATACAAGAGCAGACATGTGCTCTGATTGGTGACCACGTTTGTCACCAATAATGGGAAATAAGGGAAAAACAACAATGAAGTTGGGAGCTAATCCCTACAATGGTCAATAGACTCCTGTGAACCCGGGTGGAGACCTGGTTGGCCAGCAGTATGGCAAGACCTAGGGACTCTTGGGCCCAGAGTCAGTGACATAGCCACAGAGGACTAGAATAGAAAGTGAAGCATCGAGCTGATAAGAAGAGAGGGCATATGCGCAAGAAGAACACCCACACTTGCAGATAATACCCACTTGACCTGGGTTCAATGACTGGATGATCAGAGCTCAGCTAGAAGAAGAAAGAAGAGGAAAACAAGAGTAATATGATACAATTTGATGAACTTGACCTACACCTATGGTTGTAGTAGCTCAAAAGAGGGAAATAATCTTTACAGCAAGGAACATTCCCACCCCCTCCATACACAGAGTAGACAGGGATGGACAACTTTGACATTGGCTAATCAAAATGGGGGTGCTACAAAGGCAAGAAGTGAATGGCTTACAAGCTTTCAAGAGGGAGCCTAGATCCAGAGGGTGCAGAGGAAGGTAGAATCTCCACTGAGTAGTATCCAATCTGTTTGAGCGGGGCTGATGAAAGGAGATGGGGATAGGACTTATGTGATACAATAGAGAATAATTATTATTAGAACTGATTGTGACAGTTGGAAATGTAAAGGTGGACATTTTGTAGCAAAAGGAGGAGAGTGTATGACTTTGTTAAGGACTGCATCTCAATGTAAAGAAAACTATAAACAACGTTCTTGTCAACAGAGTAAAGATTGAAATTGTCAAGGACTTCATTCTTCTTGGATCAACTATCAACACTCACAGAAGCAGCAGTCAAGAAATCAACAACATATTGCATTAGGCAAATCTGCTGCACAAGACCCTTTTAAAGTGGTGAAGAACAAAGATGTCAGCTTGAGGACTAAGGTGC